CAACTTCATCTTTTCTTCTTTGACAATGATCTTGAATCGAATTAGTATTTCTTCAAACTTCAATAATTTATGCCCCTTGCCAATGTTCGATTCCATTTTGAACTTTCATCAATATCCCAACTTTAAACCTTGAAGGCTCAAGAGATTAACAAATGTCCTTTAATGTCATCTTGAATTGTCATTGATCTTTTCCATCTCTGATGATGCTTTAAATTTCATGAACATGTTCAATTCACCCATACTATCATCACGAATTCAATGCATCTACTTGTCATTTTTTAAATGTCAAATCTTACATGCAAAAATGATGATTTTTGAACCTTTCAAAGATGCTAAAATTAATGTCAAATTTAGTGATGTTTAAAATAATCATGGGCAAGATTAATGAAAAATCTTTGTGAAGCACAATGGATTATATGAACAAACAATGTTATTTAACTTCCATGAATGGCAATTGCCAGTATCTTTTTTTTTTTTTGCTAAAAAAGAAATTGATCCCATTTTCACAAAGAAGCAACTTCCTCAAGAATAACTTTGTAAGGATAACAATAGTGAAGGCACCAATTACTTCCCAAATTAACAATCAAGTGACAATGGAATTTTGAGTTTTCCAAAAATTGCGATTTTGGCTAGAACAATGAAATTCTTCCAATGAAATCTCAACTTATTTGCCACATTTTGTTCTCTTCATCCTCCCTCTTTTTTTTTTTTTATTATATTTGGGGAAATATCATACTCAAATTCAATAGCTTTCAGATTCTCTGATAAGGGCTTTGAATAAGCTTGTATCATGGTCTAAGGCTTGGCTAATTAGAAAGAAAGGATATAAAAGCTCAATGACAAAATCCCTTCTGCCCCCCCTAATTTCACTCTTCACACCCCAGGCTCTTGATGCAGGTACATTCAAAGAAATAATCATCTTGGCTTTTGTATTATGATGACTGTCTTTTCTTTTGGCTCAAAGTGGGTAACTAAGGTCGACTTTAGTGTTTGGGAAATAGAAACAAGGCCTTTCGTCATTGAATCTAAAAGCTCTTTAATCTAGGTATGATTTGTTATCCCTAGTTTAGTGATTGCCATCATCAAAATGTCTACAAATATCATATCCTTAAAAAGGACTTTTATGGATTGTTGTAGGGCTTAGGTATGGTTACTAAAAGAATAATCAATATAGGGTCAAAATACCCCACTTGCCCCCTAGTTTCATGCCATGTCTTGGAGATTTCTTTTAAGAATTTCTTCTCCTTTATCCCCATTTTCTTCTTCTTCTTTTTGAGTTTCCACTTTCTTCGAACCTCTTTCTTCCCTTCAAAATAATTTTTACCAAATTCTCCAATGAAAGTGACATTTGCTCCCAATTTGACATGCAACAATATTCCTAGGTTGTTGAATTGGTCATGAAAGAATGTTCATTAAGCTCAAAGTGTTTAACTAAGGCTAATCTTTCAAGGTTTAGGGAATGAAGTTTCAAAAGGAAAGCCTTCTATCCTTGGACCTTCTACCATAAGCATCAAAACGATAACAATCACCTAACAAAGTTAGCAAAAATTCCACCATTTTCCCTCCTTTCTTTTTCTTCTTTTTTTTTTTTTTGTTTTTTTGTTTTGTGCAATTTGTGGCAATTCTTAAAGATGAATCCTTGGCAAACGTTTCAAATGATAATAATTCTCAAACTTTCTATCATAGGAATGTTTGTTTCAAATTTTGAGATGAATTTCTCTTTGTACATTTCTTTCATTCCTACTCATCCATTATTTCTCCCTCAATCACTTCCCTCATTTCTCAAACTTTCATCTTTCCTTAAGCCTCAAGTTTCTCTATGAGATTCAAAATTGAAGTCAAGTTTAGTAACAATGCAACTCATGGAAGTATAAAATCAAGAACTAAATAACAAAGATTCAAATTGCAATATGAAAGGAGTTTGGAAAATGCAAATGAAAACTAACATGATGGACACATTTTATTCCAAAATGAAAGCAATAGGGAAAAACTCCATTGTTCACTTATTCAAGCCCTCATCAGTAACAGTTCTAAGATCAACCTTGTTTGAGTGGAACTGTAAGCGTTGGTCCCTTTAATATTAAAGGCTGTCTAGGAGTTGATGGAACTTGATTGGTGAGAGTAACTGCAGCCACCTCTTGACCTTCCTCAAAATCCTTCTCGATCATATTGACTGTTAAACCATCGTGTGTTGGTAGGGGGTTTTTACTAATATTCGAACCAACAACTTCAAGTTTTGATGCAATATGTAACTCCTTTGCCTCTATCAAATCTTGAACATAATGCCTTAAAGCTAGACAATTTTCAAGGTCATGCCCAACACCTCCATTGTGATATTCACATCTTGCCTGTGAGTTGTACCATGCTGGAAATGGTGGTTTTACTAGCACCATAGGTACATAAGTAACAATCCCAACTACTACTAATTGTCGAAACACTTTAGTATATGACAGAGGAAGCTTGTCAAAATGTCGTCTCACTTGTTGTGGACGATTGATCCCAGAGGCATAAACGAGCCTTGGTTGGCTTGTAAAAGTTGTTGATTGATCAGTTGGAGCTTGGAACCGATTGTTTAACTACCCACGTGACTGTTTATTTCTTCCATATGCCTCATAAACTAAGCTTATAGTGTCATTCTCATCTTCCTTCTTTCGATTCTGGCCAACCTTCTTTGAACTAAAAACCCCTGAACTATCATTTTGGTATTGTTCAATGAGACCTTTCATTACTTGATAATCCATGATAATTCTAGACTTGATTCCATCCTCCATTTATTCTCCCACAACAACCAACTAGGCAAAAGTGTAATTCACACAAGTTATTAACTTCTCGCGATAAGGTGCTTTGGTTGAGTTGATGAATAAATTACTTAATTCATGATTAGTCAGTGGAGGTTGAACTCGAGCAACCAATCCACGCCATCTTTGAGTAAATTCCTTAAAGTTCTCACTCGATTTCTTTTTCGCTTTTTGAAGATCCTCTCTACTATGAGCTAATGATGTGTTGTATTCATATTGCTTCATAAAGTTGTGAGTCAAATCATGCCAACTCTTAACTTTACTCTTGTCTAAAGTTGAGAACCAGGTATCTGCAGGACCTGTCAGACTATCCTGAAAATAATGTATCATTAGCTTCTCATCATTGGCATAAAGAGTCATCTTTCTACAATACATTGTCAAGTGAGCATAAGGACAACCGGTGTTATTGTACTTATCAAATTCAGGCAATTTAAACTTTTGGGGCAGTTGAATGTTTGGGAAAAAGCACAAAGATGAGATGTCAACTAGTTTATTGGTTTGGACACCTTGCATTGCTTTTAGTGTTTCCTCCATCAACTGCACCTTTGCTTTAATTGCCTTATCTTCATCCTCTGTGATTTACTTAACCAAGTGAGTCTCTACTTGATCATTTTCATTAGTCTCAATTGTAGCAACCCCAGCATTCAGAACAAATGGTTTTGTTCCAGAAGCTCCAACAATAGTTGGATTTGGTAGGCAAGATGATATAAGCTCCTTCCCAAGAGTTAAAGTAGATGTGGCCACAGGGAGATTTGTCACCGAAACATTTCCTTCAAATAAAGGATTTGTTGTCAAAGGTTCCCTTGTGACTAAGGTTGCTTGAAGAGATTCGAAGGAAGCCATCAATTCCTTCAAAGTATTTTCCATATTTTCAACACGATTTTCAAGAGCTACCTTCTCTAAATTAGCTTTGTCAACCATCTTCCTTGCAAGAGCTCTAGTGAGATTAGGTGAATGAACTCTTGGATAATTCCTTTTAGGACTAATCTTTCAACGCCTAAAGAAGATATAAGAATTATTAACAAATCATGAATTTATCTAATTGGTATTCTGAAAGATAAGTTCCCAAGGTTCCCATTAATGAGTAAACCTAATTTCTAATTATGTATTTTTTCACATGGATTCTTCATTGTCAAAAATGACTATGTAAAGGGAAAAGGAAATTAGAGTAAAGTACTTGTCACACAAGCCAGAAACATGAGGAGATTGCCCCCTTTAAGACCTTTCAAAATTTTTTTTTTTAAGTAAAAGAAAAATAATGAGGAGGTTGCCTCCTCCTCCTCCATATCTTTTCATTTTTTATATTGAGGAACTTGCTTTTTCTCAACAAGTAAAATTGAAGAAAATATGAAATTTGACTTCATTGGTGGAAGAGTATGCTCAACCTCAACCAATTCAAAATAAATTCCATTGATCAACTTTTGAATTCATTGTTGGGTGACTAAATTGGAATATTCTTCAATGGTGAGAACGAATTTAACCTCGGGAAAAACAAAGCAACGAAGATGCCAGACATAAAATCTTAGGATTGCCCTAATGATTTCTTAGTCCAACTCTACTTGCAACACATCTTCCAAATTTCTTGTCAAACCTCACATTGTCGATATTGTTTAGACTGTTCCAAGTAGCATCCAAGTCCTTTACACAAGATCTTTTGGTCTTCACAAAGAATCCATCCTTATGTGACTTGTTCTTCTTGGATAACGACGGATATTCTAACTCTAAATTCACCCTTTTTCCCTTATTGTCCTTTTTCTCCAAAGTATCCATGTGTAAAATAATTAATTACATATTTATTAAAGAAAAGAAAAAAAGAGAGTTAATAAATGTCATACCTCTTGGTTGAATTCCTCACCTAAAAACACAAAAACATTTTTTTAGAATAAAATACTCCCTAAGGGCCCGTTTGGTATAGTGGTTTTGGGGTAACAGTTAACGATTTTACCTAAACCGCTAAATATAGGTATTTGGTAAATTTATATATTTCAAAATCGCTACAAATAAAGTGTTTGGTAAAATTTTTATTTAGCGGTTTGAGACTAGCGGATATCGGTTAGGGTTCAAACTGCTAGCGAATTGAAAAAACTAGTTTATGCAGCTTTTTGTACCAAATTGCTACCGGATTAAAATCTTTTAATTTTATTGACAAATTTATCTATTTTAATTTTTTAATTTGTGGCCACATTTTTTAATTAATAATTTTCTAATAAATTTCAATTTTGTTTTTTTACATTTAATAACATTAAGTGATTATAATATTTTTTTGTACATTAATTTATAATTAAAAAATATATTATCTTAAAAAACAAAATTTGTTAATTAGATAAAATG